ACATTAGAGCTGCTTAAAGAAAGTCCACATGACGATATTAAAGATGATTTATTCTATTAAAAGCATTGTCCTGACTTTGACATTGCAATAATAAAAGTGTCCAAAGCTTGAATGTGTATTCAACTAACTGCCAAGATTCATTCAAAATATTTATAAACATTCCAAATATTAACATGTTTAGAAATACTTTATGTTCTTTGGTTATTGTTTTAATATCTATGCATTAAATAGAATGGGCGCAAGGCAGAATTCTTACTAATTCTTTTTTGAGGATTCTGTTTCTTTAGAGTACATAGAGTGCTTCCTTTTTTTCCTCATGTCACTGAACATCTTTTCAATATGACTTATAAATTGATTATCTGCTGATACTAATTGGTTAGATTAGAAAAGCCCAACTCAAATGCCACCTATACCACAAAACCTTCCCTGATTCTCCTGATGGTGCTGTCCTTCCCTTCTTAAACTTCACGTAGCACCTTGTTTTACAGTTTTCTAATGTACTTATAACATACTATTGTATATTATACTTAACTGTGTCTTATTCCCTAAGTGATGGCAAAGACTAACTCTTAACTAAACTATGTATCTCTCCTAGTACCTATTACAAACAGTACTTTGCACATAGTAAATACTTAATAGAGGTTTGTTGAATGAATGAATGAAAGGAGTTTGTATACATTTACATTTCATAGAGAATAATATAATATAGTAAAAAGTATATTGGACTAAGTAGGAATTTGTAGACTTGGTTCTGTTCCTAGTTCTGCCACCTGCTAGCTTTGTGACTTTTGACACATAAGTTAACTAGGCAGGGCAATGGATGTCAGGCTTGGAGTCTGGAAGGCCTGAGTTCAAATATGACCTCAAACACTTATTAGTTGTGTGACCCTGAGCAAGTCACTTAACCCTGTTTGCTTCAGTGTCCTCATCTATAAAATGAGCTGGAGAAGGAAATGGCAAACCACTCCAGTATCTTTGCCAAGAAAACACCAGATAGGGTCACCAAGAATCAGACATGACTGAAGCAGTTGAAAAAACTTCTATAGGCCTCAGTTTTCTCATCTGTCAAATGAGGTGGTTTGGAGTGGATGGTTGCCAAAGTTGTGCTCAGCTGTAGCATTGAATGGTTAAACAAATCCAAAAGGTAGTTTCAGATTCCAGTGTGATCCAGTACTATGGTAATTCACATTTTCTATAAATAAATTCAAATTAGTATTTGAAGACTAAATTTCATGATCCCAGAAGCCCTTATCATGTAACCAGTATTTCCATTAATTTAAAAAAATATTTTTAAGAAGTGATATTTTTAAGGTATTTTTTTCCTCTTCAATTTTTTTAGTGTTCTTTGGCAGTGTAATAGTATCCAGGAAAAAAATTTTACTGATTATGCTGCTCTGTTAAAATATAATATGTGGATGTATTTTTCAACATGCTTATAATGTTAGTTTAATGATGATAGTAATTTCAATCAGTCAGTTGATCCTGGTCACTTGACCTTTTTGCCTCATTTAATAGTAGGCCATTATAGAATGTGATCCTTGTGGTTATGCTTTTTATCTATATGAGCCCTCTTTTTAAGTTGAGTAATTTTAGAGCCTAAACTGACCCTTGAGATGACTGTCTTGTGTGTTTATAAGAAACCTTACTGATGTCAAAGGGAACTATAGACTGAACATGTTTACTCTTTTTTATAAAGCTTTCTAATGTCATGTCACTTAACTCCAGATGTATTCAAACCATATCAGTGTGTGACATGTTGTCCTACCATATCAGTTTATGTTGACAATTAATTTGGATTATTGCTTGAATGCATGGGCACACATTTTTGATTACTCCCCCTTGGAACTGCAAGATTTTAGCCAAAATGAAGAATAAATGAGCATGAACAAGAAGGCTTCTTTAGTGTCCTAATGATTAATGATAGCGTAACACTTTTGAATGATGAGCATTTTTCAGAGCTGCTAAAAAAATATACTGTTTTATTTAATTACAAGAAAGTAAAGGCTCTTTACACTGACAGGTGGTGGAAATTAGCAGGCAGTTTTGAAATTGTGCTGTGCGCTAGAAATTAGATCTTATTTTAATTCAGCTTTTCTCAACTAGTAAATGAGGTTAATGCCATACATATTCAGCTGATATGGATGAAGAAATTGATATAAAGTAGATCAACATAGCTACAGGGCTAGATTAATTTATAGGTAAAGAGGCAGTGATAAATGGACATAATGTAGTAGTGGTCACTAAACTCCTCAGCCTTCAGGGATTCAATAGTGTTAGTTGCTCATTAAAGGTATTGTCGGGGTGCATCAAATAGAAATTTGAAAAGGAATAGCCAACTAACCCCTAATTATCAAAATACAGAAAATACTAATTATGCCTTAATTAGCTTTTCTTTTAATGTACTGAAATTTGTTACTTTTTGTGTGGCACAAATGGATAGTTATATCAACAATAAATAGGTTGTTTTAATAACTTTCTTTTACCTCTGGGAAAACTGCACTCCAATTTTTAATATGCAATAATGCTTCCTCTAGCCTGTAGGAGATGAAAATTATTAAGTAGCTTTATTTTTTTGAAGATTTTACAGCAGCTTTGGGAAGAATTATTTCACCATGCATCAATTATTTTTAATTGAACTGAATATTTTTCAGATTGCATGAAATGCCTCTCATTTCAGTTTAGCAGCTAGAGTTTGTTAAGAAAGCATCATAATGAGAAGTGGGTGTAACCTCAGTGTTATATTACAATATGAAAAGATAATTATTTATTTTAATTTTTTAAAAAAATAACTGGTGGGAAACATTTTAAAGGTGTTCACCATTTATGTACATCTATTTGAAAGTTATACTTTATGTTTTAGATATATGGATCATGATATTTTTCAAAATATAGTGATGCATACTAATTGCATAATTATTAAAGAATTCCTATATTCCAGAATCATTGTTTTTCTGGGCCATGAAAAAAGGTGTCTGCAGATTAGGTTTGCAGGAGCTGTGTGAGCTTTTACAGGCCATCAAGTCCAGCCACTTCATTTTATAGATACGAAAGCTGAGGTGTATAGACATTAAGTGACTTTCCCAGGTCATATCACCAGTACCTGTCTAAGGTGGGATTTGAATCTGGATTTTCCTGATTCTAAGTCCTGTGACATATCTACTGCACTATGCTGAAAGCTTCAAGAGATCAAAATGTGTGTATTAGAGGATTGTGGGGAAATAGGGTTGGGTAGGTAGTAGAGAGTCAGATTATAGTAGGCCTTATAAAGTTTAGACTTAGGGTAGGAAATAGGGAACCACTGAAAGTTTTTTAGTATAAAGTTGAAATACTAATTGAAGATATATTAAAGAAGATGAGTCAGAGAGTTATATGTAGGTTGGATGGGAAGAGGGAGGGCAGAGGTACCCCATTTGGGGTTAAGGAAGACTGGAGTCAGGGACACTAGCTGAAGCTCATAACTCTAGCAGTGAGTTATGAGAATTGAAACTAGAGTAATGGTGTGAACAATAAGAAGAAAAAACATATGGAAGATAACTTTAAAAAGAGTTGGTGATTACATTAAATGAAAAGGTTTTGCACAAACAAAAACAATGCAGCCAAGATTAGAAGGAAGGCAGAAAACTTGGGGGCAGGAGTTAACAGAAGTTTCTCAGATAAAGGCCTCATTTCTCAAATATAGAGAGAACTGAGTCAAATTCATAAGAATGCAAGTTGTTCCCCAATTGATAAATGATCAAATGCTAGATGCTTTTCAGATGAAGACATCAAAGTTGTCTGTAGTCATATGAAAAATGCTCTGAATCACTATTGATTAGAGAAATTCAAATTAAAACAGCTCTGAGGCATCACCTCATACTTATCAGATTGGCTAATATGACAGAAAAAGAAAATGACAAATGTTGTAGGGGATGTGAGGAAATTGGAACACTAATGCACTGTTGGTAGAGTTGTGAACTGATCTAAACTTTTTAGCAAACAAGTTGTAACTATGTCCAAAAGGCTATAAAACTGTGCATACCCTTTGACCTAGAAATAGTACTACTATGTCTGTATCCCAGAGAGATCAAAGAAAAAGGAAGGACCTATATATACAAAAATATTTATAGTAACTCTTTGTAATTGCAAAGAATTGGAAATTGAGGGGATACCCATCAATTGGGGAGTGGCTGAGCAAGGTGTAGTATATGATTGTGATAGAATACTAGTGTACTATGAGAAATCACAAGCAGGTTGATTTCAGAAAAACCTAGAAAGACTTCCATGAACTGATGCACAGTGAAGTGAGCAGACCCAGGAGAACATTGTACACAGTAACAACAATATTGTATTATCATCAATTGTGAATGACTTAGCTGTTCTCAGCAATACAGTGATCTAAGACAGTTCTGAAGGACTCATAATGAAAATGCTATTCACCTCCAGAGAAAGAACTGAGGGAGTCTGAATGCAGATCAAAGCAAACTTTTTTTTTAATTCTCTTTTTATATTTTTTGGGGGAGGTCTTGTGTTTTTTTTTCACAACATGGCTAATGAAGAAATATGTTTTACATGACTGTACATGTATGACCTGTATCAAATTTGGAGCTCAAATTTTTTTAAATGAAAGTTAAAAATTTTTTACATGCAATTGGAAAAAAAATAAAATATTTGGAAAAAAAAAGAGTTGATATAACCTGACAGCTGATTGGAAGTAGGGAATGAAACAAAGTGATGAGTCAAAGATGATTTTCTAGGAAATACAGTAATTGATAGAGAAAGTAGAAAAGGTGTTAGTTTTGCCAGGAAAGAAGAATTTGGTTTTAAATAAGCAACATCCTATTGTGAAAAATGCATTATGTTGGGATTTATTAGACTTAGTCTATTATCCCAGTTTTCCCATAACTGGCTTTGTGATTGGACAAATTACCTTACCTCTTTGGGTCTCAGTTACTTTACTGTAAAATGGGAATGGGGGAAAGAGATTAGATAAAATCATCATCATCATCAACATCATCACTCACATTGATTCACTTTGTACTTCTATCTCCTTTTTGAGTATCCAATGACAGCTTCTGCCTAAAATGATTACAGAAACGTGCCCATTAGAATAGCTGTAGAGTTGGGTAACACTACTCCTTTTATTCAGCACTATAAACTTTCTTATCCAGTATATTAAGGACTTAAAAATCAATTAGCAAGTCATTAGAGTTAACAGTCACTTACTGCTTTTCAGGTGAGCGCAACTTAAAGGACTTGAAAAAAATAATCTGACTAGCATGTATTAAGTGCCTGCTATCTGCAGTGTACTCTACTAAGCATCAGAGACACTAAAGATAAAACAGAAAAACAATGCAAATCATGGGCTTCTTATAGGTTTGAAAGCATCTGGCAGAGGAGGGAAACCATTTCCTTTTTGTTGGTCTAGTGAAAAAATTTTACTTGGATGGGAGAAAGGGTGAAACCTATTCCATGTGGGTACCATCTAAAAGAAATGTTTCACTTATCGAAGGAAGGGTGTGGAGGCGGCTGGTTTTGAATATTTAAAGCGTCATCAAGTGTAAAAGGAGTTAAACTAGTTATTTCACTTGGTTCCAAAGGGCAGAATTGGGGATAATGACTAGACACTGAAGAGAAATTATTTCAACACTGTATAAGGGAAATATTTCCTAACAGATCAACATGTCTGAAAGCAATTGAGTGCGTTGCTTTAACAGGTATCAAGTTTCCCCCCTCACTGGAGGTCATTAGGTGGAGGTTGGATGACTACTCACCAGGGATGTTATAAAGACGGTTCCTGTTTAAGTATGGCTTGGAATGGATCTTCTTTGAGATCACTTGCAACTCAGAGTCTAAGATTCTGTGATTTTAGAATTTAGAATGAGAACTGTTGCTGCCTTTAGGTATGCCTGTTCACATGGATAAAAGAATCTCAGAGTTACTTCTGATGTCATCTAGGCCAACCTGTACCTGAACAATAATTTTCCTAAACAGCATTTGGGCAAATCACTTAACTTTTCTGGCCCTTTTTATACTCAAGTATAAAATGAGGGAGTAAGTCTGAATGACCTCCTAAAGTCTTTTTGGTTGTAAATCTATAGACTGTGAACTCTGATTAAAGATCTCCAGTCAAAGGGGGACTTAACTATTTCCTGAGAAGTTCACTCTACTTTTGAACAGCTGTAATTGTTAAGAAGTTTTTGTTTGTCATCTAAGTCTTCCAACTATAATTTCCACCCATTTTTTCAAATTCTGCCCTCTTTGACCAAGCAGAACAAATCTAATCTCTCTTCAGTATGACAATCCATAAAATACTTGAAGATAACTGTGATGACCCTGGCACTGCCCCTTCCCTTCTCCTTTACGTGACCTCCCTCCCACCCCCAGAGCCTCTCTTCTCCAGGTTAAACATCCCTTCTTCTTTGAACCAGAGCTTCTGTGGTATGTTGTACATTCATCCATATCTCTAAGGCTTTCTTAAATGCATTCAACCTTGTCAATAGTCTTCCTAAAATGTGACATAAAGAAATGAACACAATATTTCAGACGTGGTCTGTCCAGGGCTGAGGACAGCAGAACTGTCAACTCCCTTATTCTCAATGCAGCATGAAATCATACTGCCTATTTTTATTGCCATGTAATGTGTATGGTTGACTCATATTGCCCTTGATCTGCCAAAGACTCCCAAATGTTTTTCATATGCATTGTTGTCTATACTCACCTTTTCCATATTGAAATTGATTCTTTGAACTCAGCCATCGAACTTTACATTTGTTCCTGTTAAATTTCATTTTTATTGACTTCAGCCCATCATTCTAATCTGTCGAGATATTTTTGGAATCCAATTCTGTCATCTAATGTGTGAGCTATCCATGTCATTTTGTGTGTTCTGTTTGACTAAAGTTTTTTTAGCTATTTTGGGGGAAATTAAATATACATTAAGAAAGAAAATTTTGTGTATTTTTAAGTTGAGTTCTATCATAATAATGTCATATATATGTTCTGAGAAGCAGAAAACATTCTTGGGCATTGAGAAGAATAGTCATGATAACCCAATATTAATTTTAATTTAATGTTTCAATGCTCAATTGTTTTCTAAAATTATAATTAAAAGCTATAGAGAAATGATTTCCTAGAAAGATAGCTGTTTCACATTTAACTTTTCATCAACACATCTAATTCATAAGATAAAGTCAAGCAATATATAGACTTTTGTTATAAAACAAGTGGTGGACTCTGTATATATCCATGGATCTATGAATCTTTTAATTGTGAATCAGCTCATAGGGGTGCTGTTAGTTACTCATGTGGAAGAAAAAATGGTAATACTGTACTCTATGTGGTATCCACAAATCTGCCAGCAATAATTTTATTTAGTTTTAACATTTATCTAATATACAGACCATTTCTGGCTTAGAGAGAGGGATGTCTAAACTGATATAAGTTCCTTTTCTGTAACACTATGTCTCCCTGCCCCAAGAGGATTTGAGGTAACATTCATAGATATCTTGAACAAAGAAAAGGTTGCAATATATTAAAATACTATTTGGAGTTAGCATTCCCAAATAATAGTCACTACTCAGTTCCAGGACACTCCCCTCAAGGATTGAAAAGAGTTTCTGCTCTTCACATCGGTATCTTAACCATGGTAGGTCATGGTGCCAGGTTAATTGTCAGGAGTGTTTATAAGAAAGAATTCAAGGCACAGATATTCTTCAGACTATATGTGTTCATGAATAATCAGAAAGTGAGAAACTGTTGGGAAAGACATCATGGTACTGTACAAAGAGCACCTAACTGGATGTTAGGAGATTGGGATTCTCATACCTGCTCCACCACTAATTCACCACGTGACCTCAGATGAGTTGGTTAATTTTTGTGGGCCTCAAATTTCTTATTTGTAAAATAAGGGTACTGTACTATCTTTATCTCTGTTGCTGCCCTTATTATGATCCCTAAGGCATTTCCCTGCTGTAAAATCTAGAATTCTATTTGACTTAACATTTATATTACTGTAAGTAGGTAGCATATTTTCGACCTCTATATTAGAAAAAAATGCTGAGAAAATTTATCTTTCTCTTCTCTTGGGGAGTTTTTACAGTCAAATTGCTCTATATGAGTCATTTGTGTTTGGTATATAAATGTGTGTGTGTGTGTGTGTGTGTGTGTGTGTGTGTGTGTGTGTGTGTGTGTGATGTGGCTTGGTTTCATAGTTGTAGCTGGTGTGTGTATTGTGTTCAGTTGCCTCATTTCCACGTAAGACATGTTGTATTACTTTTTTATGTAGAACCTAAAGATATACCTGAAGTTATACTTTAGGTTATCATTCCCATTCTTTTTAAAGACAAACCATGCTTTCTGTACCTCAGAATATGTGTGTCAGTGTGTGTGTATGCATAAACACATATACAGGTATTATGGTACATGTTATACATACATGTAATTTTATATCAAATTTGATACTGATTTTTCTAATCTAATAAGTAAATTATTTAACTGTATATATATATAGCTGATTCAGAAATGAGTCCCACCTCAGTAACCACTTATTTCTTGTCTGAACATAATAAATTGCCTTTTTTTTTTGGTGATGTTCTTTGGTACAGGGCACATCTGATGACTCCCAAATATCTTCTTGAAGAAAGTATACTATATATGTAAGTGTAAGGTTTCTACATAGTCTACAAGAATTTTGCTTCTTTTGCTTCTTACTCCTTAATCATATCTTACACCATATTTTTACTGTCCTCTTCTATTATGTGCCCGCCTTTTAACTGCTATCACTCTTAAAGTACACATTAATTTTACTTGGAATGTCTCATCATATCCTTTCTAGAATTTCTCTACCTCCTTACCCTCTTCAGCAGATGTTAGTTAGAGTACGAAGCGCATTATCTTGTGGTGGTCTTCTTGCATATGTTTATCATGAGCAATGCAATACATGATGACTGAGTATCAATGAATCTATGAGCCATTCAGCAAGCATTCATTAAATGCTTATTATGTGGCAGTAATTGCACTAAGCGCTGGGGATACAAAGATATATATGGAACATAAGTAACCAACACTCCCTATTTGTTCCAATGAAATCTTTTTTTTGTGATGTCATCTGGTATCATATAAATGTGCGCCATCATCATGCATGTCATTCGTATATAACAGTATAGAAGCTGTTATAGTATTATTCAGGCTTGCCCTCTACATGCAGCATGCAACATTATCCCTTGTGTAACTTCTTGAATATACCTTTTAGAGCATAATTATCAATATTCAACAACTTTCTTTTCAAAGACTTCAGTGACAATCCCAGTGTTTGACACACACCAAGAAGGAAGGTACTGAATAAGTGTTTATTCAGTTGAATTGCTTTCGGTGACACAGCCATGTAAATCAGGACTTTTCAGAAGATTAGAAATTCCAGAGGAAATACTGGCTTGTCAGTTGCATGTTGTTCTTATTCCTGAGAATGTCTCTGGAAAACAGGTTAAATAAAGTGTTTCCTGTCATTCTTCTTTGCCTCTCTGTAACAGAAAACCACTACGTGTATAGAGATTTACATATGAACAAAAGATCCTTGCCAGATCTCTATGAGGAGGATTCTTTTATTATCTCCATTTTAAGGATACGTTCACAGAAACTGACAGAAACTGACTTGCCCAGGGTCACTGAGCTCATATGCAGCATATGAGACAGGGTTTGAACTCAGGTCTTCATGACACCAGGTCCAATGCTTTATCCACTTCACTAACCAGGTACCCCACTGCACCCTGGGCCATCTCCAGTTGTCCTGATCTGTATCTGGCCTCTGGACCCAGATAGCTGTACAGGAGAAAGTGAGGCTGGTGACCTTGCACAGCCCTCCCTCACTTAATTCCAGTTTACTTTCATGTTATGGCATCACTTCACTGATGTCATAGTCCTTTTTGAGAATGAAGGAGAAACAACAACCTTAGAGGTACAAGCATCAGAGCTCACTCCTTCAACACTGGGAAATAAATGTTACTACAGGTGTATTAGAATTGAGTTAAATGTTCACTGCAGCAGTTAAATTTAGGATCATAGATTTAATGCTAGAAGGGGAAAAAATGTAGCTAGAGGTTATCTAGTCTAACCCTTTATGTTCCAGATGAGGAAACTAAGGCCCAGAAAAGGTTAAATAACTTGTCTAGCATCTCCCAGGCCATAAACAGCAACAGTGGTATCCAGAGACACACCTTTTGTCTCCAACACAGCATTTTTCCCACTCTGTCACACTGTCTCTATTCTTGTTTTTGATGATCTTTATGAAATGTCACTAATTAAAAACATGCCTATTGATTATTCTATTATAACATACCTCTAATAACTATCTAGCTGTTTTAGCTAAAGAGGAGTTAGCCTTTTGATATTATCAATGAAACTTTTTTAACCTGTGCCTTTCCTTTTCTTTTCATGAACTGTTGCAATTGGAGACCTTATTTTTCATTGTCAGGACACTATGTATACATAGTATGAATATTCTTGTGGAAACATCATTCCTCACACTGGTGTACATTAAGATCTGCTGAAATAATTGCTCACAGTTTAGATTTCAGATTTTGAAGACTGGAAATCAAATTGTCTCATCCTTTGGCTATGTTACAAACCAAAAGGTGACCTTCAGAAATCACTGCTATTCCGTTCCTTAGTAGTGTTGCTTAGAATTATGTAAAGTTTGGGAAAAATTCATCACTGTGCATGTGCCTAAATATATGCAAAGTAACTAAGTGAATTTCTGGGTTTTTTTCAGTCATTACAATTTATGATTATTTGTCCAAAGTGTAGAAGAGGAACAGTAAACCATAGCTTGAGAATTATATTTTGGGAAAGT